CATGGAGATGTCAGAGCTAAGTGAGATCACTACCATCCTGCTTTTGTGGGGGTGGGTAGGGGTGTTAATTTGTGTTTTGATTTGTTTTGTTCCCCATAGGTTTTTAACATTCTAAAAGCCCTTTATTCCAAATATACTACAAGCTAGTCAATGTATTCAGTAGGTGTAATGTATTCTAAGTTGCTTCAGAAGTATTGTAAGTACTACTACGTACAACAATAAAACAGTGCATTGACATAAAAAAGAAATTTACTTTTGGTACTTAAGTACTTTTAAAAGCAAGTACTTCTGTACTTTTACTTAAGTAAAAATCTGTCTTTACAACTTTTACTTGTAATGGAGTAATATTTGACCAGCAGTCTCTGTACTTTCACTCAAGTAATGGAGTTGAGTACTTTGTCCGCCTCTGCAAATGAACAATCAAACATGATATCAGGCAGAGGAACAAGAGTTGTTACTGTATGGCCACTGAAATATGACTCGCCAAGCGGTTCCACATTTACTCTTGAAATCAGTTGCAGCAAGTGTTCCTTGTGCTCAGAAAAGGTCAGAAATGCCCAAGGGAAGTATTTAGCAAACATAAAACATCCCACATAAAAAAAGAGTGATTTTAAGTTAGGAAACACTACTAAAGTGTGCAGTCTACTAAACAGTAAAATCTAGAAGAGGAGGTGAGCCTAGGGAGGAAGTGAATGAGGGCAGGAAGTGGCAATCTTTGTGTTCACACCAGTGCATTCGAGACAGCTTTACAACTCACAATATTGACCTATCTTGTGAACATTTGTACCAGTTTTCTATAGGGCTCTAAACATTTTGAAGCAAATGTGTTGGATACTCACACACAAAATACACATTCAGAGCAGCATGACATGAGAGCCAAGGTCCTGAACTAAAAAAAAACCCCACCTACCTTCTCTTGTGCTCGGTTCATTGATTTCTGAAAGCGTTTGGCCAGGATGCCTGCTCCCGCGCCAATGTTGCCCCCAATGTTGGCACCTAGTTTTCCCTCTGCCATGTTCACTTCTGATCAGCTGTCACACAAGCGATCCTTCTCTCTGATGTCTCAGCGCTTCCTTCTATAAACTTACGGTTCCTGGGCGGAGTGAGCAGAGCAGAGCAGAGCGAGTGGGTGTAAAAGCGTGATGCAGTTAGTTTGCCCTTGAACAAACTGATTCTGGTTGCTACACTAGACGCTGCGTACTAGTTTTAAAGATGGAAGATTATGGGGCCCCATGTCACGGCGGTAACAGTTACACTAACAGATTGTGCAACATAATTTTCCACCGTCTGCTCAAACGTGTTTGGTTAATTGTCATCGATGTGCGACTGCATCATCAAGAAGTTAACTAGTCATCAGTGTTTCCTAATGAAAGTGACGGCTACATTTGGATAAATGAATTCATGTCAAACTAAAAACCTCTGCCTGCACTCAGAGTGGTTCTATGAGTGCTGGGCACGTAGAATGTTATCACACCCGCTCGAACATTTAATACAACAATATAAAACTCCATATTAATTGACTAGCGGTGATATAATTTCTAGAGTGTACATGAGTGTAAAATAGAATTCGGAATAGCATACTAGAATTTTACGATTACTATTTCTACCATATAAATTTATAGCAGTTAGTGTAGTAGTACGCAGTTTAAAATATTTAAAATAAATAATTAAATATGTTAACAATACCAAAAAAAAAAAACCACACGGTATGTTCGATTAATATTCTTTCTTTCAAGTTCTCATCTTTTTTTGTTGTACGAGATACAAACACTACTCTGTTGCATTACAAATCCCATATGCCAAATCCCATAATTACCACTCCATATGCAAATAACAAGCCAAAGCTGAGATGAGATCCACATTAAACAATTTGTTGTAATCTACAAGAAGTAGATAGAATTTCAGCTGTCATTTGCAGGCTAAGGAACTCTCTCTGCGCTGAAACATAATACTGTTGACACTATATCCCCAGACAACAATATTTGTACTGTTATGGCAAAGGTGTGGAACAAACAATGTATTTGCGTTGTAAATCATTTGGTGTCGCATTAAATTACATTCGCTTTCACTGCATTACAATGCGTTGGATCTAGTTATTTTTTTTTTTTTTTTTACATCAATCATTGTGTTAAAATAGCCAGATAGAAACAAACTCCATCAACTCAATATTAAACATAGACTCCAATTGTACCATATCAGTACAAATAAATATTTATTTGTTTGAGAGTGGCTAGTGGCTGGGCATTCTGGGTCTCCCAATTTACATAAGCAGCATTATATAAGCCTTAAGCACAGTCAGCTCCCCATCACTTATTTAAACTGCTCAGGGCTTACATTCTTAAATTAATATGATACAGCATAGCAGCTCTGTAAGTCTTTACCCTGCACTTTACCCTATATTTACTGTTACTGGGGCTCTTAAAAACACTGGACTTAAACAAATACAGCATTAAGTACTGCTAAACCACCACAAGATGCCAGTGATGGTCATCTTTAATTGAATGATGTTCATTTACTGTAATGTAAAAGCAGTATGATTTTTTGGATTTACATCATTTATTAATCATTTAATTGACAAATCACACACTTTTATCTCGTTATTAAATCTCGTGTACTCTCTCTTTAATTATTCACTGGCTGCATGTTTGGTTGTATTTAACATTTGATTCAGCAGTACAGTGCCCACCAACTGTAATTTCCCACTTGCTAATTAGATGATCTGTTCCTTTTACTTAGAAGCATTCAAGATGTGAGACAGAGAGAATGATGAGTCAGGGCGGTGTATCAGATATTTCACTTGGCACAGCTGGTTTCTCTCCTTTATGTTTCCTTGAGGCTTAAACTCTCATAAATAGCAGACACAGATCATTCTCTGCCTGAAACCTACATCAGAGAGAAAATATTCAGTAGTTTTGATAATAAATTAGCTCTTGCGTTCTGCTGATGTTACCTATCTTTCAAGAGTTAAACGAAAAGCATCTGACGCACTTATGCTCCATTTAGAGTGACCTAAATCCAGTGATGCATCACTCATGATGCTGCATTCTACTGCAAGCTTCCAGAAAAGCTCATACCAGTGTGACCACTAAAACTATGTAGATCAAAACTATTTAAGAAACTAATATTCTACAGTCCCTGAAATGATTCCTAAAAACCTGGAATAGTAGAACCCTTAACTGAGCAGTCTAAGTTCAGTAATGTTTAATGGTCTCATGTTAACCTCTGTGCAAAGTATATACAGATACTGGTTAAGCCAACCATATTAAGCCCTTTACATTATATTGCATTACATTATATTATATGTCTGTATTTTATGGTCTTGGTCATGTGTTAAACTAACCTGATGTATGCCTTATCTATACCTTACCTTATATAGTAATTCACTAAATTTGTATAATTACTCAACATAATTGTATTGTCAAAAATATAGAGTATATTGGCAAGTTTGATGGTTTGATATGACAATAAAACAGGCATCAGTATATTACATGAGACATAAGTAGGCCAAAAGTTTTTTTCTTTATTTACCACACCTCCATTTAGTAACTTAACTGTCATTTGCAGATGAACATGAGCCATTTAAATAGAGCACATGACCGGATGACCCATAAGCAAAACAATATAGTTATAGTAGAGTGATTAGTGCATTAGTTATGGACACCAATGATATGATTTACCACACCTAACAATAGTATAACTACCAAAACTATACCAATACCACTATTAAAATCAATTGAATATATTAAAGATGGTAAAAGAAGACAGATTGTTCCATCCATGTGCACTGTAACGCTCCTATATAATTTGACATTCATATAGACATTCATTAAGATATATAAGACAACAAGCATATTTACACAAAGTGACATTTACATGCCATATTTATTATTTAAACACTTATTAGGGTGTTTAGTTGTGGAGCAACCAGCAAAGTATTATTCTAAAACACCCATGTTCGGTTATGTAATGACCTGAGCTATTTGCCCTCCAGCCTCAGGGTCAGTGAGTACAAAGACGCACGCCCCTGTCATACAATTCTATCCTACTAACGTACAAACAGAAGACCCTCCCCCAGTACACAAGAGACTGCACATTCCCATCCCCCATGTCTCCTCATGCTCTTCAAGACTCTTTCTGTCTTGTCACCTTATTCCAAGCTTAAATATGCAGCAATTATACATGATTTCCTCCTCTGGTGCAGCTTACACTTAACATTTTTCATGACAATGAAATGGCTTTATTGTGAGATTTGACACAATGTTAGACCCAAAATCGACAGAGCTGATATTGTCAGGCTATACAGCCAGGCAGGTGTTTGGGTGCTGGTGTGAACAAAATGTCCTCTCATGCAAGACTGCCTAATACAATGGAAGTCTATGGAGGGTGATCGTTTTGTTTTAAGAGGGCTTTATCTTGTCTGAACGGATTAGTGTAATGTGTCTGTTTGTGGTATCAGACGACAAAAATCAAGCAAGTATTTAGTAGGTGGACTGTGGTAATCAAACTAAAGTCTGGTCACAGCACCATGACTGTGGACTGAAGAATTACATCAGGATTTGTTTTGTCTGTCAAGACTGAATGTTATGACCAGGCTTAAACAAACACATCAAGTATTACTGGAATGCTTCAACAACAAATACATTTCCATTTAATGAGTATAATTTATAGCTGTTTGACCTAACAATGTTAGACAGGATGGCATTCTTTTTGCAATTGCAACACTGCATCTTTAAAACAACTTTTTCCAAATGTAAATATCCTGGAAAAACTTGAAAGTAATCTGTAAATGATCATCTCATTCTTATAATGTAAAAACATATTTTTGAATCTGTAAATAAAACCAAGATCAGGTATGTGTTACAAGGAAATACTAGCGTCATTCTTACTTTTGTAATGATTTGTGAAATTTACAAGCAATTTCTGAGTGAAAATTGTTTTCTATAACAATGTGTTCAGTGTAACAAACATTAAAAACACATGTAGTTTATGCTTTTGCATGGTTTATTGAACAAAATCAACATCAAAACAAAGGATGACACCCAAATGAGAGAAGCATCCAAAAGATCTAGTGTGCTTTACACAAATTAAAGTCAGTTCAAAATAATTCAATATTTGCACACAAAATGCTCCACAAAAAGTCATAAAATGAGCACAAAAATATCAAGGTCTGAAGAAGCTTGTTTAGCAGAGCAGCATCATACAGTGTCAGAAAAGGAGAGGTTGCATAGAGTACGCTGTATGGTCAAAGTTGGACAACAAGGAATACAAAGAAAAACACAGAATTCGAGTAAAAGAGATGATAGAACAGGACGTGAGCTTCTAATTAAACTCGGTTCACTCTTCTCAGTGCAAGTGCAGTCTAATACTATGGTTTGAATGACTGCTATGACAATTCTCGGGGTTTATGCTCTCTGAAACATTCAAACGGAAGAGGACAAAAAAGCAAATGCAAAAACATTGATCAACTCTCTCCAGGATTAACTGACCTTCATAAAAGATACAATCATTTAAATTAGGGGGAAAACGAAAGTGGATTTAAAAGAATCACAATGAATGTTCCCATTAAAAATGAAAAGAATTAGCGGACAAATTGAAAACATAATTGAACATAAAAAGTAACAGAACACTTTTTGTTCACAAGTGAAGAACCGTGCAGTCCAGAATATTACAGCTCAAAATACCTTGAAACCTGAGGGTGATTTAATCTAATAAAAAAACTTGATCTCACAAGCCTCAAGTTTCTTCTACAGAAGACAGCAGTAAGCAGTCACAAATGGAAAATGCTTGACACTATAGATTTATTACAAAAACAAAACCCCATAAATAAATAAATCCATCTGAAAAATATTAACTAGTCTCTCCAAAAAACAGAAAGCTAATTTAGTGAATTAGTAACTAAAACACAAGAGTGCTGAGGTAGAACTATAGCGCACACAAACTGTCAGGCAAAACCACATCTGGAAAAAGTCAAACACACCAATTTCTTCTCTATGAAACATTTAGGATAGAGATGAAAAAGAGCAATGGTACCACTACTGAGATCCCATCCTGCTTTTGAGAACATCAAGTAGTCAGTTAACAAAGGAAATATTGGCTTTTAATAAAAGAAAAAAATCAACCCAAAAAAGCAAAAACTGTTTTATAGTGGAAATGCATTAATAGAATTTATTATATAAAACACAAATAGCACTCACACGGTCTTTAACTGCTCCCTTTAGTCATAACTAAATCTATATCTTAATCTGCCAGATTCGAAAACAACTGTCTGTGCAGAAGGGTTGTTCACACCGTTTTTTCATAAGTGACAGCAGCATTGTAAATGGGGCAAAAAAATAATCTCACACAATGTAAAAACTAGCACCTAAATGGGTAAACTGCACATGCCCAATATATAAAGTGTTGAAATATTAAAAGCTTGGAAAATGTACTGCATGTTTAAAAGATAAAGCTGTAAAACAAAACAAAAACCTACAAGAAATCTCACTTATATCACTAGACTTCAAGGCACCAGGATAAATCTGCATTCAAGGAGAAAAAAATATCAATATTGGTTTTAGGCTTAAGATCATGAGCATTTTCATGACAAATGAAAACCAAGTTCTAAAAGTTGGTCTTGAAATTTCAGTTATTGTGTTGTGACAGGGAAGATAACGATGAAAAAGTTCTGAGGAGTTTTATGTTTAACTCAAGTAAGACCCAAAAGTAAGACTATGGTAATGACATGATTTGTGACATGTGATGAGCATATATGTAAAAATGCTTGAGCTCAAAATGTAGTCAAGTATCTTGTGCGTATGTCTTTGTACTGCAAACAATGTTTGTACTTGCAAATGCTTCACTTCTCATAAAACCGGATAAAATATCTGAAATACTTTTCTTTGTTTGTTATGGCAAAAGATTGTTTTGAGAAGATGAAAAAGTAGGGCGGCTCCATGAACAGAATTTGAAAGTCCCAGTCCCCCAGTAAGACTAATAAAGAGCTTGCTTGTTTTAGCTTGATTGTACTCACTGCATCATAACATTGTTTTTAGCTTTACTTCACTGTTAGTGATGTAACTGCTGATTGAGTTAGGCTGAACACTTCTGGGCTTGCTGAATGATTCATGTAAATTACTACTGTAAACAAAAAAAGGGAACGGTCAGATGAAAATCTATTTGTGGCAAACTTTGTATTGGCGTTCAAGTTGAGTACTTTGTACTCTCTTCACATTAAATCAGCAATGGAAGATTCACAGTTTTCCAAGCAACACGGTCCCTTCTGGTCTGTTATGGAAAGGGAAAACCTAAAACAGAATAAAAAAAATACAAGTAATTAGAATTATTACTTGAAATTTGATTTACACACATTTGACTACAGACATTTAGTGAGAACATTAAAACACACCTAAAAATGCAATACCTAGCCAATTAAAAAATATATATATTTTCCAATCAATTTCCAAGCCTTTTCCTGATTTTTTCAGGTTTTCCATTGACCATGGGAACCCAGAAGAGAACAAGCAACACTGGACACAAAAAATGAAAAGAGGGGCCATGTATTTTCTAGCATTTTGAGTGACAGTCTGAAATTAAGTCATGATGGCTGGCGCTGTTGCATAAAAGCTTGACTTAAATGGGTCCAAATCTCAGATTGCTTGATAAGTAATCAGATTTACAAGCATTCAAACACAACACAAATAGGAAAAAAAAAATCTTTGCAGGCTATGTCATTACTCAGCATGACTGCTGCTTGATCTCAGCTGCATACAGTATTAAGAGCTCACCCCTCCTCCTCATATTCTGCGGCTCAAGCTATGTGCTGAGTCAGGAAGAGCTACTAAACGCCCATCTGCAGTCACTCAAACTACACAATGCACGCAGCAAACCCACCCTCTCTCACGTCCCACACATACACACCAGAGAGAGAGCAAATTAACCAAGAGGCTCCATGCAGTATTCTTTTCCTGTCTGAATGTAGCAACAGAAGGAGAAGGAGAGGGGGATGGTGAACAAAAGACGACTGGAGTGGCAAACAGCTGTAATGTCCTCATAATGGCTGGGGAACTCATGAGCCCTCCAACCCTAAAATACATCACTTTAAATGCTCTGCCAAACTAATCTAACTACAATATTCGAAAAGAAAAAAAATTGTGATTTTTACCAAGACAATTGGGAATGCACAATATTAAAATCATGTACTACTTGGTCTAAATAAATGAAAAGAAAAAAAAACTAAACTAAAATCCATCTTTAAATGCTACAGAGTGAGTTGGGCATTGCAAAATCAATTTTACAGTTTGAAAAACATTCATTTTGATATTTGCTAAAGATTACGTTTTACAGTGTAATTAAATTGTTAGTGTTTTTAAAGATTAAAGGCAATCTATTAGTAGAAACGAGGTAAATGAGCATTCATTAAAGTGATAGCTCAAGTCATCATTTACTCACCCTCATGTTGTTCCAAACCCGTAAGATTTTCGTTCATCTTGAAACACAAGATATGTACCACCATGGAAAGACCAGGTAACCAAAACTTAGAAGATCCAAAAAGGTCATAAATGCATCATAAATGCAAGCTTGTGCATGCACCACATGCTAGAACGAACCTCATTGGTTTTCATGTGGCACATACACACAAGAACCAATGAGGTTTGTTTTAGCATATGATGTACAAATGAGTTTTGATTTGCTCTATGTATCGATGTTTGTGAATAAAAGCCTAAATTAAATCTGCTCATGATATAAAGCAATCGTATTTCTTCATAAGACTTGTATTAAACCGATCGATTCTAGGGATGTAACGGTATGAAAGCAGAACGGTATGACCAAAGTTATCACGGCTATCAATATTATCACGGTTTTGTTAAAATGAGATTAAAATGTTCAAAAAGAACTAATACACACACTGAAAACATTTCAATAAGTTTTATATTTGAAAATCAACAAACACAATTAGCAGCTGTATGCACTTTTTTTTTTAGCATAAACATTAAATTAACATTAACATGAAGACCTAATAATAAATAATTATTTATATATATATATATATATATATATATATATATATTGCGGACGCGGCACAAGTGAGATAACGAAATATTTAATCTCTAATCAATATTTTTTGTCCAATTATTTGCCCAGTTAGTTTTGGTATTGAGGTAAAAGTTACCTTGCATTCGCTATATAACAGTGGGTGCGGGTCACGAAGATGACTGAGCAAATTTGATGCATTTCCCCCTTTTGCAGCGACTTTCTTCTTGCAAGATCAGCAGAAAGGGTGACCGTTCTCGATTAAATTGCCTAAAGGTAAACTATACCTTTAAACATTCGATATCGATACTAATATTAAATATCAATATTTAAAAAGAGATATCTAATTTTGGTTGATAACTGAAATTGTGACAATACATTATGCACTCCAAAAGCAGTAATATTTTTAGACTAAACTGATCTTTGCAAGGAACTGTCAGTTATGTGTGGCATGGCATGCCAAAACAATTCCCATTTCAGGACTAGGAAGAACTCCCAGTCACCTGGTGTGCCTAATGATGAGAGTTGTCCCCTGGAGCAAAGGGGTAGGGCTGGACAATAATTCAATATCAATATGTATCGCAATATAATTTTTTTCAATAACGGTGATATGATTTTTAAACACATTTTATTTTATTTACATGATATTTCGATATACATTACCAGTGTTTCCCATACACTGATTTATTTGTGGCGTTTGACTTCGTTGAATAAACATGAGCACTGCACGTTTCAAAATCAATACGCGTCGCGGGGGTTTTATATGAATGTATCTCTGAAGGGAACCGACTGTCTTCAGAATAGTTTAGATGGCATTTTTATCTGATAAAGTAGCGTTCATGAGCGGAGCTGCTTTGTTTACAGCCATCACTGGAGAAACCGCTAGTTCCACCGCTTTCACAGCGCCTCCTGCTGGCAGACAAGCAGTTTGCATTTTCAATAATAAACCCATTTCCAGCAACATGCTTTTGTTGTTGCTCTATTTTTTTGTTTTCTGAAGCAACTCGGAGCATGTTTCATACTCGTTATCCTGGTTAATGCACGTTTCAATCTATAAGAATAATCAGCCTACACTACCAGTCAAAGGTTTCTGAACCGCAAGATTTTTAATGTTTCTTAAAGAGTTTTAATGTTTCTTAAACAGTTATTTTAAATAGTAAAAATATTTCAAAATGTTACCGTTTTTGCTGTATTTTGGATCAAATAAATGCAGGCTTGGTGAGCAGAAGAGAATTCTTTAAAAAACATTAAAAATCTTACTGTTCAAAAACTTTTGACTGGTATGTTAGCCTATAGTTTGAAGTAAAAAAATATTAATATTAATATTAATAAGGAGAGTCTGAGATTTATTTGACAGTGATTTCACATTTCTTGTTTGTATGAAGGCTAAATACCAATAAAAGGTGAACAGTTATTTATTTGTGCCATTTTTTTCCTAAAATATTATATAGTTTTATAGGAGTAGGTTTCATAGAGTTGGCAAATTATTTTTTCATAAGTTTGTAGGTACAGACATCTGTTGTGGCCGTTCTTGGCCGTTTTTATGAGGCTTTTTTAATAGTGTTCATATCGATATCAGAATTATATCGTATCGACCGAAATTAAGAAATATATCGTGATATAAATTTTGGCCATATCGTCCAGCCCTAGCAAAGGGTAAGGAAAAGAGAAAGAGACGAAGGGATGGGGAGTGTTACAGGAGGGGTGGTGGTGAATGGGTGCGGTTGTATAACTATCCAGGCATGTACTTTTAAAAACAAAAGAGGCTGTTATAGCATGCAAACAGAAGCTCTCTGAAAGTCATGTCATTAAACAAATCATATGATGATAGAGTCCTAGCAGAGCACTCATAACAATCGTGAAACTGATATGGTCAAATAAGACACTAACAATAACGCGATAAATGTCAATTTGTCCTTCACTGCTGTGGGAAAGATACTGACGCTGTTATCCAATAGATAATACAATAAACTTGTACTATTTATGCAAAAGTGCATGGTTTCACTTGGATTTAAAGCCTCATGTTAAATCTTGTGTTATATTATTTTCCACTCGCCACTTACAAGTTTTATCAAAATAATCGACACCCCTGGGAAGGCTGTGTGGAAAAACACATGACGACTATTTTAAGGATGTATCAATATTGAAATTCTGGCTGATATGTAGCTGGTAATAATCAATGTTATAAATCTATACTACTTTGTTAAAAACAACAACTTTAAAACACTAAAAATGAACATGCACACTTCAAGAAGCAGTGCTTTCTTGATACCAATTTCAATTTCACAGCAAAAACTAATACTATAAAAAATAATGTAGTAGGGATGCACGATATATCGGCCACCATATCGGTATCGGCCGATAAATGCTCATTTTTTCTGTTATCGGTATCGGCCTGATAAGAAAATTTGGCCGATATCTTAAAGCCGATAAATAATGCATTATTTCCTTCAGAGACACTTCAGATGCGCGCTGTTCGTTTGCAGCCTTTTGTGCAATTGTACATTGTAATATTGTGTTTATTTGACCGGCTGCTATTACTGTCACTGAAAACATGAGCCTTCACACAATTAAACAACCATATCTGTACATTTATGGAAACTTCCCTGGCAAAGGCTCACCTGTGTGTGCATTCAGGTCAGAGTTCACGCTGCGCAAGTGACCTGTCCCATCCTGCTGTGCAGTTCTAGTGCATCTGGTCGGTCCTGAGGATTGACTGCCAGCATGTCCTGCAAAAGTTTCCTGAGTGCCTCGGGCATATGCGAGCGCCTGCGCTGTGGAATACTCAACACCATCTTTGGGTTCTCCAGAAGCGCCTCTCCAACCGGGACGATGTCAGAACCCTGCCGCACATACGTCCCGAGAAGCTCCCGTTTTGAGTCGGCGTCAATGAAAGTGATTCTCTCTATCATGGCCCAGATGATAATGCCTAGAGCAAAAATGTCTGCTTTGGCTGTGTAATGTCCTTCCCAAACCTCCGGTGCCATGTAAAAGTCTGAGCCGCATGCCGATGAAAGCCAGAACTTATTGATATTAACACTGTTCTTGTTTTTGTCCCGTCCCTCCTCTGAGTCCCGTACTCCAGCAGCCAGACCGGCACACACTTTACTCAGTCCAAAATCGGCCACTTTCAACACAGGCATGCCAGAACGCTCCGAGATGAGGATATTATCTGGTTTAAGGTCTCTGTGAACAATATTGTTTTCATGCAGGAATGCCACAGCGCTACTCAGCTGCATCATGAAGCTGGCATTGGTGCGGGGATCGGGTCGTCGCGACAGGATGAACTGATTCAGATCCCCTCCCTCGCAAAACTCCATAACAAACCACAGGTAGCAGGGCTCATCAGGACACGACAATATACGCTCACCTAAAAAGACACGCACACAAAAAAACAGATGCAGAGATGAATATACTTTCATTTGAATGTTTTGGCGGTGTTAGTATTAGTATGAAACATTAATAAAACAATGACTAATAAGCAACAACCATGGTTTCAAAGGTGAGGATCATGCCTCTTTCGCAGAACCTACTCAACACTGTTGTTGACTAATGGAAATCTTAAATGACTTCACCTCCAACAGAAATAATATGGTTTAAACTACCAGTAGTTGATTATTGACTTTAAAGGGGTCATGAACTGAGAAATCAAAATTCCCTTGTTTTTTTGACATATAAGAGGTCCTTGTACTATAAAAATATTCTGTAAAAAAATGCTTATATTGAAGCCAATCTGCCAAAACAACAGGTTGTGGAATGTGCCACTTTATGACGTAATAGTGTGACTAATTAGCACCTCTGCTTCTACATCACTGCCTGTATAACTCCGCCCACCGATTCACACATGTAGTGTAAATAATGAGAGGCAAACGCAGGTCTACACAGAAACCAAAGGACAAATATGCTCCAAAAACAACAAGACGCTGTGCAGTGCCAAGTTGTGGAAAAACAGTCTCTGCATTACCTTCCTTCTGATCCCAACATTAGGAAAGAGTGGATGAACTTTATTTTTAATGAAGTTCCAGACCACGTCAGTAAGAACTTGGTCGTTTGTTCACTTAATTTTACCGTGAATTCATTCACAACAAGGCACAATTCGATGCAGGATTTTCAGAAAGATTGAAACTAAAAGGTGATGCTGTGCTGACTATATTGGATCCGACAGTAATGGCGCACCACACAAGTGTGAGAAACTGTTTTTATTATGTGGTCACTATTGCTCTGTTATTACAGATCGTTTGATATGTACTAGGAATGCACGATATTGGATTTTTGCCGATACCTGATATGCCGATATTTTTCAACTCATTTTGGCCGATAGCCGATGCCGATAACGATATGGTTCCTTTTGTTAGGAAACAACTCCAAGCCTCTCCGTTGCAGAAATTATAAGCAAATAGTTGGTTAATTTTTAACAAGAACTTATTTGTTCAATTAAAAAAACAACAATGAAGTTATTTTATAATGACAGTACATTGAAGATTTGAAAATAACTATAAATAAACTATATTCAATCACTGCAATTTTTTCAGAAAGATGCAGTGGTAACCTTAACATTTTATTTTAATATTTAACATTTGTAAATTGTCTAAAGCAAGAGTTGTAAAAATTCTGAAAATATTTTAGAGCTCATAATTTGTTTAAAAAAAATTACATATTACACATTAATAAATAAATCAGTATATATAAAATTATTTAATTTAAGTGACATGTTTGTGTTTTTTTTTTGTTCATGTAAGCTATAGCTTCTGAACTTTAAATCAAAACATACTCATGATTTTATGGCATCAATTACTGCTTTATTTAATCAGAAACAGTCTAAATATTATGTGTGTATTTTGCTTTCATTTTATTAGAAGTAGGCCAACAGCGCTCCCTACAGAATTAAAACTTCTTACGGAGTGGGCATTAGGACCCTGGGGAGGCTGCTGCTGCTGCCACTGCAAGTGCTATTACTGTTTAGTCTATCACACACCAAACGCCCCATTCTGTACATGCATTCTCAGATTAAATGCATCAAAACAGTGAATCTAATCATCATTCAGGCAAAACGTTGCTTCAAGAATGAGTCACACTGCTGACATGATCTAATCGCTAGCACACCCTGAGCATATGTGGCAAGATATCCACATATCGGCATATTTTTTTTTTCATATTGGGCCGATGACGATATTTACATTTCAAGCCATTATTAGCCGATTCTGATATTGGTCCGATAATATTGTGCATCCCTAATATGTACTGTTTTTATGTGTATTTATGTAATATTTATGCGTTTTTAACCTAAATCACAGCAGCATCCATCTATGAAGGATATAGGCTATCAAACATACACAAATGTTAACCAATAATAGCAGTGGGCGTTTACTCACATATGCTACAATTTGCCACGCCTATTCAAACAGAGCATTCAGAGGAGGAGGGGGGGTCAAAACATAAATAGCGTATTACTTCTAAATTATGTTTTTCTAGGTAAAAATCTTGATAACATTACAAGTGGACCTCAGAGAACAAAACAAAATAAAAAAGGCAGTTCATGACCCCTTTAACTGACTCAAGTTAGATTATATATGATGTTTAAAGTAGGCATGAAATCAAAATTGGAGATCTGTAGCTTTTAGTACATGCATTTTTGGCTTTGATGTCATAGTGGACTCCTACAAGTCGCATTACAGCCTATCTGAAAAAACAAACCAAACAAACTGATGAAATAAAATGCTCTATAAAATGAGAATGTCCTTTGCCCTAATATTCACTTGCCTCTGACTAATATCAAGTATTAAATCATGGCTATAATTAGGGTGACCAGATGTCCCGTTTTTCTCGGGACAGTCCCGTATTTCAGCTCTTATTTTAGTGTCCCGACTTATTTAAAAAAAATTATCATGTTTTGTCCCGTATTTCAAAATTTCCAGTAGCAGAAGTGCTCTGTCACAGCCTAATCAAAGGTAAGTAAGCTTGTCGTAGAACCAAATTACCATCCAATCACAAATCGTTATCGATTCACTTGGAGTAAGTGAGGTGGGATAGATAGGCGGAATCACGCTGAATGACAGACACAGAAGCGCTCTCTCGGCTGCGATCAGTTCTCCTTGCGCCTTAATTGTCACATACACACACAGCTGTCAAAATGTCAATCGTGTGGAGTATCTCACGTAAATACAGTCGGTTATGACTAGGGCTGCACGATTAATCGAATGCGATTGTCATGCGCATTTTGTTTTAAAAGCCGGTTCTGTAATCAGCAGGAAATCATCATCGCGTGCTTTCAGATGGAGCAGAATTTACTACACATAGCTGTAGTTCACTGACAAGTTACGCAAAAAAAATCAGACAAATTTATTGCGCGATTATGAAATCGAAGAAATCGTTCGTGATAATGACAGCTGTTTGCATAGCTTCTCCGTGAACTACGGCTCTGTGAAGTAAATGCTGCTCTATCTGAAAGCATGTGAAAATACCACATTTAATAAAATTTTTACTCCAAACTCACTTCATAACGTCAGTTGAGTGTTTGAAATACATCCTTCTGTGAGATGATGTGGCTTCTTACACAGAATAAGGCATGCAACATATTTCATAGTATTTAAGCAGTGATAAAGGCATTGCATTATAAATTATTTATTTTAATGAAAATTATAATAAGAACGCAGATAAACAAAAAAGGCCCTCTGGCCTTTGGATGGAGATTTACTGCTGATCACAGAACTGTGCTTCACTGAAAGATACGCATGACAATCGCAGCTTCTGTCGAATCGCGATCTCGATTCCATTTCTATTTATCGTGCAGCCCTAGTTATGACTAAAGTGAACGTTAACAGGTGAGTGAAAACCGGATATGTATCAGTATATTATATTCATTATAGGGCTGGGTTTTGACACAAATTTAACGATTCGATTTGATTCTCATTCACAAGCTTGCGATTCGATTCAATATTGATTATTTTGGATATATATCAGGTACAGTACATACCAAATTTTCTCAAGGGAAAAAAAATAACTAATGCTGTAAAATATACATGAGAGTCAGTTGGTGCTACATTACTGTAATATTGAAGGTTAAAATTGACTGATTTGTTAAAATTACACTTAATGAAGTTTTAAAATAATAAAGTTACAATTACATAATATTTCTACTTCAATTGTTTTTTTTTTAAAATATAAACAATGGTGGCTGTCATAAAAACTTGATGGATTTATTCAAACATAAATTAAACATTGAAGAACAGTCAAATTTATAATTAATCTGTTATATATTTAGCAAAATGCCCCTCTCTACAGTTTATTTTTCTATCTGACTAATGAGTTTATGGTCACCAAATATGTTTTTCCAAGGTAAATGTGACGTTACGTGACATTGTTTGTTTACAAGCCGTTATATTGACGTCTTTGCGCGGCTGAAACACTGATTGAGCGATTACATGAGACAGGATACGGATTGTAAAGTTGTACTCTTTCTTTTAACTTACCTTCGGATGCTTAGTAATGTTTATTTTGTGCTAAAACTGGTATTAATGTGGAGGAGATGATCAGTTCACGTGCGCCTTGCGCTGCAGCGTCTGTTTAACTGAGGCGCAACAGCAATCTGTCACTCCACATTAAACAGCACCAAAACAGCATTTATTGTTTGAATACTGCAATGCAATGGACAGAATTTGGAATCTGAGACTTTGTTTCATATTAAAAGTAACAAAGCACAATGCTTATTGCGATTTATTGGATGGGAAATGCCCTTCAATGTTCCGTCCAATACCTGAAAACAGGCTAGACTAATCGATTCTTGGGCTTTAAGAATCAATATCGTTCCGTAAAAATGAGAATCGATTAATATGGAGTAGGGATGTAATGATTAACCGCGAGCCGGTTGAAAACCGATTAAAATATGTGACGATTCAAATCGGTTGAGATGCTAAACAAATCGCGATTCATTTAGGGGTAGGAGTTTAAACAAATGTATGTCTGAGGGGAACTTACTGTCTTTAGAAAAGTTTAGATGGTATTTTTTCTTTTCAACTTGCCTCTGTATAATGCATATTAAAGATCATAAGTGCAGTGCTGCTTTGTTTACAGCGGAAATCAAGGAAACGCTTTAAGCGCCACCTACTGGCAGAGAGTGAATCTGCGTCTCATTCAGCTCGTCTGCTGTTTCATGCAGATATTTTTTATGCATAGTTTCACAAAACTGAAGTCAAACCAGTCTGTTTTTGCTTCAAATTTCGAAATTATACAAATTTAGATTAAAAACTGCTCATGTTGCATGTATGCAGCATCTTTGTTTGGATAATGATTAAAATGCAGTGGTTGCCTCTAATTTTAAATGGAACGAGCACAGACAAATCCTTATTTTGTTTATATGAAAATATTTATTTTGTGTTACTTATTTATTTTATTTGGGGCTTGTTTTAAAATTTCAATGTAGTTTTGTTATTTACATTTACATTATATTTAAATTTTGTCATTTAGCAGACACTTTTGTCCAAAGCGATTTACAAATGAGGACAATAGAAGCAATCAAAACCAACAAAAGAGTAATAATATGCAAGTGCTATATTAGTATATTATTATAGTGTTATATTTCAATTTCACAAAGAAATGTGCAGCATTTTGTCCAAGCAATAATATAAGGATACATTTAATTTATAATTGGTCTTAAATCTCATTTTGTAAAAAAAAAAAATAATAATCGTGAATTGAATCGAATCGTGAAATCAAAATTTAATTGAATTGTGAGTTGAGTGAATCGTTATATCCCTAATATAAAGACATCGGTATTTTTTACCCAGCCCTAATTCATTCGGTCTTAAAGGGACAGCAGCCTAATTAAATACCTGTCTGTCTCATTATGTTAATCAAACAACAAAAGATGTTAAATAAAGTATACATGTTAAACCTACTGGATTAGAAAAACAAGTTTATATAATATTTAATGTGTATCTATTGTATTTTTCTTATGGTTTGTAATTTGCTTTATTTTTATATAAAAAATAACTATGTACGTGTGTGTATGTAGGTTATATATATTAATTTAGATATCATGAAATAAAATTTATCATATCGTCCCCCCACCAACCCCCTGGAAATAGCTGCTAGGGGTGTTACAAATACGGCTGTCAAGTGAACCAACTTGCCTTAAAAGAACTTTGAGGTAAACTAAACATTTTTTTGGCAAAAAAAGGTTTGACCCTTCAATGTCAAGAAAAAAAAACAACAACACATGAACAAAAACTGGGGGAAAACCTTGCATATAACGTATTTTTGTGTTATTGCAAGTAAACATATTTTAAAAGGTTAGAGAATGAGAGCACCAGAAAAACAGTGGAGTTAATGTAATGGAAAGAGTTAAAATAAGAATTGCTTTGTCATCAGTTTCAGAGGCTGGATTGCTGTGGAACCAGTTTGAAGCTGTTTAGGTTTCTTTACAGAGGACTAGACTAGCTCCCAAAAGAACAACAAACACTGACTTGTATCTCCTGATACAAGCCAAAATGTAATTAATAAACGGGGTCCTGTGTTTTCATGGGCTTTTTTTTTTTTTTTTTAAATCGCTCTCCGCTCTTTTATCGTTTTGTTGAGCAAGCACTATATGAATCAGCACATCTGCTGTAAATATAGCATACTGTGAATGTCATAGGTTTTTTTAAGTAGGGGTGCTATCATCACCAACCACGAAAACAGACAGTGAGACAGACAGTGTCTAAAGCTAGATCAAGTTGATGTTTTTATCCACACTATGAACAATACTTTGACTCATGTTAACATCAAGAAAATTGCTTGAAAACCATTTAAATCTGCGACAAAGTAGTTTCCTTTTTATACAAACCTAAAAGTGCACAACATTTTTTTGTTTAGGTTTAGCTGGCTCTAATTCCAATGGTTTTAAACGTTATGCTAACAACTATTGGCTAGGCTTGCCGCAATAGACGGTGCTGACGGTGATACCGGTGTTAAGCCGCAACACCGGTTACGTCACTTGCCCACCGCGTCACCGACCCCCACCGTCGTTTAGATTTTTTTTTATAGTAATAAAAATCATTTAGTTCAGTAAAAGAACAGACACTACAATTAAAAACTGAACGCGGCTGCTCAATGCAGTTGAACGACAGTCGCATCACAGATCAGGTTTAATTTCTCCAGTGAGGAGAGTGAGTCGAGCTGACTAACAAGAAGAGTGAGGTTAGACAGACAAAACGATCGCAGATGATTTAGTTTCGAAAGGAAATGCAAAAGCGCCTGTTTGGCAATATTTTGGATTTTTAAAAGCCTGTTGACTTTTGCCGTTTATCTAAGGTGATTTTGGAAGTTTTTTAAACATTCGTTTCTTATTTAATTGGTTCCACATTGTTTGCTGATTTTTACTTTATTTAAACTTTGTCATTTATTTATTTTATTTGACATCAAGGTGTATGCCGTGCCTCCAAGCTTTCTTACT